TGCATAGAATGAGTTTGAATCACACTAATTATAGAAAAAAAAGCCATGTAACGTGTGGTATTTGCACAATCTAGCGTGGGGAAAAAAATGACAGGAAAATTTACAGAGATTATCAAAATCAGACTTCCTGTGACAGCTCAGACAGCGTGAAGAACACTGCTTGCACTTCAGTAAGGTAAGGTAAAATGAAAGGCTAAAACATCTTGATCTTATAAACTAGCACACCACAAGATTGGCCTTGGGATAATCTCAAGTGACAAATCTGAATTGCAGTGGAATTTGGGAGGATCCTCCCAAATTCTGCAGAAGGATTATGGGCAGGTCGATAAAGAGCTGGCAAAAACACAGACATCTGTTTATGCACCCAACATAAGCCTGCATACCACAAGTGGACAAACTGCATTGGCTTTATTGAATTATTATTATCATCATCATCATCATCATCATCATCATCATCATCATTATTATTATCATCATCATAATTTTATTTTACAATTTTTCTATTAAAATGGTTAATATTTATGTAATCCTGCCAGTCCCTACAATTCTTTATATATTTCAGTATATCACTACCAATTTACACTACCATATATATTACTACCAAGAGTAAAAAGAAAATTAACATAAAATACAATAAAATTATGTTGCTGTAATTCCAAAGACATGCATAACTATTTTAAGATAAACCGTGACTGAACCATGAGAATTCAGAGGCTTTTTTGAGCTACATGTGTCGGTAAGATCTCTTAGGCAGAGCGAGAGAGCAAGGGAGCGAGAGAGCGAGCGTGTTCAAGGGAGAGCTGGTGAATAAGAGTAAATTTAAAATGTTATTCTTTATACAACTCACTGTATGTCAAATTGTTCATTTACCTTCAGTTTATTGGATCACAACCAATAAAGGCATATGTACAAATTATCCAGAGACCAACAGCTGCTTGCTGCCGACCAGCATTGCTCCATCAAATCTGGCTAGAGTGCCAAACTACCTGAATGACTACAATAATATAATTTGAGGCCTGCAGACCGCATAATCCCTAAGGGAAGACACAGTGATTGCTACTCATCTCAGCGCCGGCTCTGAACTAAGCCAGAGAAAACAGTCAACCAACCTAACTTTAACTTGAACTAACTTCTAATTTGTTTACTCTCAGATATTTGATTATCTTTAGTTTTTTTATTGATCAATAATCTGGGAAACAAATATCTCTCTTTTGTCATTACGTCAATGTTTTACATTTATGCCAGGTGAATAGGGAGCAACTGTGTTGTTAGTTTCAACCAGTGTGCTCTTGTAACTGTCCATCTTCAAGGTCAGTGTGTCCTTATTGTGCTGGCTCCCAATGGAGAACCAGTAAATACCCCTGAGTGCAGTTCTTTATCGACCTGCACACAATTTGTGTCAGAGCACAATAATCCTTCTGCAGAAGCTTTAATAAAAAAATTTTTTAAAAAACCCTCAAAAGACAGGTGAAGTGTGCTCATATGAGAATGAGAGAGAGAGACATACAGATCTTAATGAAATGTAGCAGAACAAATAAAAATATTTTCACAAAAATAATGAGAAAGAGCCTTTCATGGTTTGAAAAGGGCCACAGATTAGTGCCTACCTGTGTGGATACCCAGTGGATCGAAGTTCTCCATGTTGCAGACGGTGACACAGTTATCAGCAACGTCTCGTACCACCTCGTATTCCACCTCTTTCCAGCCAAGCAAAGACTTTTCCACGAGGATTTGATTGCTCATGGCCAGAGCCTACGATACATAAACAGCTTAAACAATTTAGATTGTGTTTCACTACAATCATCAATCTGAAGCGGAAAGATATAAATACCTATATATTAAAGTTTAAGTAAGTAAGTTTAAGTAGTTAGTACTTTAAGTAGTTAGTAGTAGTAAATGCAGTAAAACAAATGCAGGATATCCATACTGAAATGTATCAAACTAAAGTATGTGTTTTGTGGATTTTTGGTCTTTTTATAGTGTTTTATCTTTGTAATGCAAACTTCCAAATCACAGTGACTACAGAAAAGATGCTTTTCAGAATGCGATAAATGTGCCCTATACCCGGTCTGTCCTTGTCAGTTATCAAAATAAGGGTTAGAATTGTTTCACTGCAAACTGTCCTTCTAGTTTGTTGATAGCTAAGATGCTTTGTTGAATCAAACTAAATGTAGCAATCTATTAGGACAGTTTGCACCGAAACACTTATAACCCTCTTTTTGATAACAGACAAGGCCAAACCAGGTTAAAGGACTGGGGTTTTTACTTTGCATTCTTGTCTTGGTGAACTGCCCTTGATACAAACCAGGTGAACAGCTGCTGAGTATAATTGGCACCAATGTACTTGCCATTGAAACTTCCAAATGAAACCAAAAATAAATAAATAACTAAAGTAAGCTTCAAAGAAAGACTTAAAAAGAGCACAAACATTAAGCATAAAAAAAGCAAGCACGCACCAATCTAACACAGTCTGGCACAAGCGGTTCATTTTGAAGCCTGTGATCATAGATTAGAACCAATTGAGCTGTCAGACATAATGCTGAAAAGGGGAAGAGCACAAAAGAATGTTGCTTAGCAACAGCAAACTATTCCTTTCTTGGCACAGGACCAAAAAAATGTATCTGAACAATTTCAAAAGGTATTATTTCTGTGCAAGTTCATGCTGTAAACTCGAAAAAAAGGTATAAAAAGAGGAAAAAACATGGTAAGCCTAGGTATAAATGCTCTGATTGAGGGTTTTGATTGATTTGGACAAAAGATTTTGAATGTTTGCTTAAATGCCAGGAGAAAAAAGGACCAGTGAGAAAAAAAAAAAAAACCATTAGCTATTGATAAGTGTCTGCTTTTTCTGACCTTCTGGGCAGTTTCCTCCAGCTTTTCTTTATTGGCACACAGACCAGAGCCTAGACCCCCCAGAGCGTAGGCCGATCGCAACATCACCGGGTAGCTTATCTGCTCTGCTGCTCGTAATGCATCAGACACCTGAAGGATGCACATAAATGTTATGCTTCCCATAACAAAAACTGTTGATACGGGCTTTAAACCACTATAGAACTATTACAAACACAAGACCTATAAAACATAAGACCTATAAGTAACTTCAATGACTTTTTTTTTACGCTAACAAAATGCTGGAATCAAGAAATTAGTGGTAGACCACAAGCTGACAGGATATTTTGGTATCTTCTATACGTAGTTACCAAACGTATCGCTCATGAACACTTTTTTTCGGCAACTGGACATGGGTCCTTACCGACTCAACAGCAATGCTAGGTGCAATTTTCTCATTGATCTCCATTAGTTTGTCAGCAAAAAGCTGCCTGTCCTCTGTCGCCATTATGGACTCCACAGGGGTTCCAAGGACTTTCACCCCATACTGGTCCAAGATCCCACGCTGGAATAATTCTACCCCTGAAAACAAATTACAGATGCATGGTTAAACACAAAAAAAAATATATGTCTAAATAAATTATACACATACATATATGTATATGTATATATAACACATTCATATTATATCTATTATATGTTTTAGCTTTTTAAGGTAAAAGATTTTTAATATAATAGAAGACTTAGACGTAACATTTGAACTGCATTTCAGAGGGACACATTATTTGCATTTTTCATTCCCTTTGGTCAGTTACACGTACTAAGCAAGCAACTGTGCACATCTCACCACAGTTGAGTGCAGTTTGTCCACCCATCGAGAGCAGGATGCCGTCTGGACGCTCGGTCTTGATGACCTCAGTTACAAATTCTGGCGTGACAGGCAGGAAGTAGACTGAGTCAGCCTGCTTGGAGCCCACTTCATTGGTCTGAACGGAGGCTATGTTTGGATTCATGAGCACCGTCTTCAGGTTTTCCTCCTTTATGACCGCAAGGGAAATTATTAAAAGCAAACTCACCCATGACAAAAAGTCTTCAGTGACACTTTTACATCATGTCTGACATTTTAGATGTTCTAAAGTGTTTTCCAGGCCTGTCACGCATCTCAGATAAAAGTTAATTTTATCATTATTGTCATATTGCTGTCATTTATATTTTATTATTTATTTTACCAAACTTTATATTAAAAAAATGATTCCCTCTATTTTTCATAAAAGTCCATTCAAAAATTGGTACATGGGGCCCAGAGATAGTGACAAATTACAGTAAAAGCAAACACCTAAGACACAGCACAACAGCATCAATGCAATTTGGCATTTGTTTTCCAAGTCTCTGGAATGCTACTGAGGGAAAGAAAACCATTCCTTTAAAAGATATTCCTTTTACAGGCTGACCTCTAACAGGTTGGTCAAAATGTCCTGTGGCCATTTAATTGGGTTAAGATCTACTGACTGCAAATATCACAGCATGAAATTCATATTGCTGTGCCCTATGTCATCCCAGAAGAGAGCATTTACACAAGAATAAAAATGTTACATCCAAGGATAAAGGGGGTCACTCAGTACAACTTTGTTTTCATTTGCAGTGACTATTCCCTGTAGTGGATAAGTGGAGCTAACCTATGCCACGAAACAGCCCCCCCACAGTATAAGCACGGTGGCACCAAATGCTTTCATTGTTGGGGTCAAGTACTCAGGCATCCACGGAACTCCTCTGGGTATAAACCTTTTTCACGTCTCTGCAGATCACTGCCTGTTCTTTTTTTTTTTTTTTTTAATTCCACTAATTCCTCAAATATGTTTTATTTCCTGAAGTGAGCGGTTTATGCAGTACTATAGTGTTGTTCTCTACGCAATTATCAAAAAGTCGCAGTTATCTAAGGTGGATTTACTAACTGTTTTTTCAATGCATACCAACTATATGCACAAGAATTGCAGTTATCAAATGTGCTCCGTCCATGAAAAACTCCTTTTACGTTTGCCTTTTTTTACAGAGCTGAATCTAAATGCAAGTTTAGTCACAGTAGCCCATTGAGCAGTATTAGCTAGTAAATCTCCTGCATCTGTGTCCAAATAATGAACCATCTTTCATTATCATTTAAATATTCTCATCTTGCCATATTGATTAAAAAAGAACTCACAATCAACTGGGCCTGCTCAGCATTTTTAGATCTTAATTAGATAAACTAAAATCCCAGTGTTCCACGTAATTAGGGAAAAAGCTGCCAAGCTCATCCGTGATGAAATAAGCTACAGCATCTTAACTACCCGATATAAGGACAGTATAGCAGAATAAATGACACATTTAAAAGTCCATGAATTAAAATGCAGAAAAATTGGATCATCATCAGTGTTTAGACAGGAGATATAATATAATATGACTTCTAAAAAAAAAACGTCTGCATCGACTCTTACACAAAGTCACATGAAACACTTCTATGCCTTCATTCACAACCATATTAAAGTATTATTAATTGGCTACAGAAATGATTCATTCATCCAGATGCTCTTACCTTCATGGCCTTGATGGCTTGAGATCCAGAGTAGTCAAACTCACCAGCCTGACCAATAGAGAGGCCACCAGAACCCAGTACAAGCACCTTTGAAACCTGCGTCGACACAAAAAGATGTGATTGGCACCATTTAAACAGCAGGTTCCACTAAATGACTGATATAAAAGTCTCTTATGTTCAGAATATTTGAAGTTGAACCTGCTCAACCTCGGTGAAATACTCTACCTGGGCCCTGGGAGGGATGCTGGGTTTTATGGGCATGACTGACGCTATGCTGATATTCTTTCCTTTTTTGATCAGGGACAAAAAGACATCAAAGAGAAACTGTGGGGGAGAAAAAAAGCCTTATAATCACAGTTTAAGTATTATATTAACAATATTGTTTTTTTAATGGTCTTCTGTTAATCGTTGTGGAGCCAAACCCCTATATTGGTTAAAACAAAGGCTAAATTCTGGCTAAAATGTACATGGAATCTGAATTCAATTTAACTAAAGTGACAGATCTTTGAGATCAGGACAAACGTGCTGAATAAATGATCTTCTAATGCAAAAGTGTCTCATTCGTCCATCCATCCATTTGCTTCCGCTCATCCTTTTCAGGGTTGCGGGGGGCGCTGGAGCCTATCCCAGCTGTCATAGGGCGAGAGGCGGGGTACACCCTGGACAGGTCGCCAGTCTGTCGCAGGGCTATGCAAAAGTGTTGTTTGTTTTTTTTAAAATAAACATTTATCTTTTTTTATTGGCAATGGCAATTTTATTTATGTAGCTCATTTCATTGGATGTAAACTCAATCTGTTTAACACAGAAGGTAAAAAAGAAAAATAGTGTTGGTTTACAATACTGTAAGACAGTGAAAACAGCGAAATAGAAAAAAAAAAAAACCCCAAAACAAAAACCTATTGAGGAAGTCCTGTTTCAATAAAAAGGTCATGGTTTTAAATGTATGCACTGATCCTAGGTGGTCTTAGGTGAACAGGCAGGTTTTTTTTCTCCAAACAGGACCACAGTAACTAACATCACCCTCAGCTTACTTAGATCCGATTCTAAGAACAGTTAAAAGATCTGCACCTGATGACTTCTGAGGTCTGACTGACTATTGCTACCTGGACACCACATCACTTTTCCAAACCAGTCACAACATTTACACAAGTACTATTTTAGAGTAGAGCTCAAAGTTTTACGCAAGTTCCATTTTGTGAATATACTTTAATTAGCTGGAGGATAGTGTTCAGGTACTTCATGCAGCACCATCAAGTTTTTTAATTACCTCTGTGTCCGTGGGACCGCCCTTAGCCTCAGGGTGAAACTGGGCTGTAAAAACAGGTTTAGTGCTGTGCATGATCCCCTGGAAATTGTGAAATAAAAATCATGAAATTATGCGTATATTTAAAAAAAAAATGAAAGATACTGTTAGCATTTCAAAAATAAAAGCATCTTTCCAAAAATATTAGTGTAAACATCATACAGCCCTGTGTTTGCTTCAGTTATTGCTGTAAAAGAATTGTTTATTTCTTTATTTTTATAGCCAAAGCCTAGAAAAAAAAAGTCCTGTTAAAGACTGAATATTCACACAGACTGAAATCAACCTCATTGGTGCCATCATTTGCGTTGATGAAAAGCGGGCCCCACCCTGGGGGCAGGGACTCGCTGTCTATGCCATAACCGTGGTTCTGTGCGGTAATGAAGGCCTGGCCCGTCATCACATTCAACACCGGCTGGTTCTGGCCTCTGGGGACCCACAGAAATGAATAAAACACATCATCCATTTCATTACATTTTCTGTAGGACAGGTTACACTTTAGACTGAAATCTTTATCTGAATGCAGAGCATATACAGCACGCTTTATCATATTTATGATTGGCTGTGAAATTGGTCACCTGTTGCCCATAGGTAGTTTGTATGACTTGGCTCCTGCAGCCAGGGCAGTGATCTGATTGCCCATACAGATCCCAAATACTGGCTGGGGACGATCGCTCTCCAGCACCTTTACAAAATAAATAGCATTACAGAAACAATGGTTGAGCTATAAACACAGTTATGAAAAGAAATTGTTGAAACAAATATATTAAATATTATATAGATATAGAGCTCTGCAACAATTTTAGTTCCTTGTTAAACCTGCGAATCCATAAATCAATACTCAAGTCTCAGTTCCCATAAACATTTGTGAAGCATCCTACCTTGTGCACGTTATTGATGAGTGTCTTGGCCAGAGATGGGTCTCCTGGTCCATTAGATATGAACAGGCCATCATAGTCTAGACTAAGCAAGTCCTGGTCCCACGGCACTAGGTGGACTTCTGCACCTCGCTGCACAAAAACACAAATGTAGTTATTTTGTAATCTTCGGGGTATACTTTAAATGTCAAATGAATGTAAAATCAAAGTAGCAGAAGATGACATTCATTTTATCCCCCTAGCTGTAAAAATAACTACAGACAACACCAAGTAGACATAATGTCATGATGAGAGCTCTGACATTTATGGTTTATAATCTCCAAACATGTAATGTTATTTAAAAAATACTGAAAAATAGAACAAAAAGAAAACATAGAGAAGGGTCAACACTGAGCGTAACGAATAAGAGCAAATCAATGAATATAATGTTATAACCAATCCAATTAAACGCCAATATCACAAGTCATTAACTTTGAGTACAAACATGATGAAAACCCACTCTCTTACCCATCTCCATGCCACAAACAAATTTTACATTTCTGGAGCTCATTAGGCCCAGATTTACTTTCGCAAAATTTCTGGGTCAGGTTGCAGAAAGCATGTAACAGAGCGCTGACTTTTTTATTCTGTGTTTATGCAGAGAAGGTCATTTGGGGCTAAGTCACAAAAACAAGGTCTCCAAATGGAACGCACACAGTGCAACAAGGATGTTTCACGCAACTCTCACCTTAACCAGCAGTCGGATTATGTTGTGTTTAATGCCACAGTCGACAGCCACCACTTTAATTGGGTTGCCTTTTCCAAAAACTCGGACTTCCTGGTGAGTATAGAGGCATGACAAGAAGAGGTTAGTGCCATTTCAAAATATCTAAACAAAAGGAGTTTTTAATCTGATATTATCGTTAAATAAAAAGTAACTGGCAGTTGTTACCTTGGTTGAAACTTCTGCTACTAAGTTTTTCTGATTGGGGTCAGTTATGTCAACAGGCTGACCATCAAATTCAATCTTCCCCAAAACTGTTCCCTAAAGAGAAACCACAAGCCAAATATATCAGAAACTGACCGACTCATTCATTCATTAAACACGAAACAGATACAGTCTTTCTAATTGTGGTACCTTATCTCTGATGACTTTGGTCAGCATCCTGGTGTCTATCCCAAACAGTGCAGGAACCTTTTGAGGAGGGTAAGATTTACATTAACAGAAAAGTCATATTCATCATTCACACATTCTCACAGCTTCTAATTTGCAATCTAACCTTCTGTTCTTGCAGCCATTGACCCAGAGACTTGACAGAGTTCCAGTGGCTGTACTCGTGGCTGTAGTCTTGAACCAGTAGACCAGATACCTAGAGAAACCAAAGCACTGTATGAGCCTTGGAAAAAATATTCAAGTCCAATTTAAAACCCCTCCAGTCTATTAACTGCAGTTACACACAGTTTTAATAAAAGGGTCAGTCAATAACAATAACCATTCTGACCTGATGCTTCAACCACTTAACCCGAGCTGTAATTAAACAAAAATTCAGTGAAGTAAAAAAAAAAAGGAAAATGGCCATGAGTGGTCAGTGCCAACTGCAGTGTTAATTCTTTATTTGCCGGAAAATTAAAGCAGCTCTAATATGATTCAACATTAACAGCTGACATTGTTATCAGTGAGAAAACTGTGGTGGATTATATGCAGTTAGGTCCATAAGTATCTGGACAATTTATGGCTTGAAAAGCAAACTGACTGCCTTCTGGCAAGCATGTTCATAGCCAAGTGAAGCCGTGCACAAAGCCAAACACATATAGGATCCAGAGGTGAATTTAGTAGCCATTCACTGAAAATCTCAATATGAAGAACAAAGAGATGCCAAGCCAATTTAAGGAAGCCTTAATGAGGTTGAGATGTATCAGAAACTTTAAGTGTGATCAAAAATAACAATCTGGTACATTCTTAAAAAGAATGAATGCACCACCAGCTCAGCAACACCAGAAAGCTTCAAAAATGGAATGAGCACAGAGTTTATTTTTCGCTTGATTAAGTAAAACCTTTCACATCTATCCAAGTCAAGAACTCTTTACGTAGTAGCTATATCACTGTTAAAGTCTACATTCAAGAGATGTCCTCAAGAATGCAAATAAAGCGTTTGCAACAAGTTGCAAACCACTGGTTACACTTAACAGGAAAACCTTCCCATGCTCTTTGGGCAGGTCGGAAAAAACTATTCAGGCAGCTAAAACTTAACTTGTAACAGAGAGATGGGAAGTGAAAAGTTTGAAGAAGAAAAGAAACAGCTCATGATCCAATATGCCACATCAGCTGTCAAATATGGTGGAGGGAATGTTATGGGCATGTATTACTGGAGCGCCTATAATGGATTGGGCCACTAGTTGAATTGGCTGTAATGGATTGGCTATAGCATTTGCTTGTATTAGCGAAATACTTCAAAAGTGATCGGACAGTACTACTAAGTGCAAATGGATAACGAGCCAAGCATACTGCAGAAGCATCCCAAGAGTTTCTCAAGACAAAAAAAGTGATATTCTCCAACTGCAGTCACCTGATCTCAACTCAACAGAGCATGCTATTCAGTTATTAAATACCAAACTGAAGGCAGAGAGAGACTCATAAACAAGCAGCAACTGAAGGAGGTTGCAGTAAAGGCCTAACAGAGCATTTCAGGGGAGAAAATGATATTTCTCCCCTGAAATGTTTTGTATTTGTCTGCATTAGTCTGGTGATGCCCATGGGTTCTAAACTTGAGGCAGGCATTGTATACACAGGATTTCTATCCAATTATTAAAAACAAAAGAATGAGACATAAACACTTGTACAGTCAGATAATTACTCAATGTAACGGAATATGAAGACATGCTTGTAAGACAAGCCACACCTTAGTTACCTACTTGAATGCGTTCTGACTCTACATGTTTTCTCAGGCCTAGCTCATCCAGTTCCTCTGTATTCGGCACACCATAGTTCCCTACAATAGGATATGTCAGCGTCAGTATTTGACCTCTATAACTTGGGTCAGTCAGGGCCTCGGGATACCTAAAGTAGAAAAAAAAAATAGAAACATTTTGTAAAGATTTGTATTGAAGTGATTTATTGGTTTTAGAAAATGCACTTAAACTCACACTTCTATTTAAAACTATATAAATGCGACTGTGATGCAGAGGTTATCAAATTAAAAGCAAGTTTTATGTCAGATGTCAATGCCTTTGTGTTTCTTCAAATATGTACTGTAATTGTTGAAATGTGCCATGCAAAATAAATAAATAAATAAAAATCTAACGGTGTTATAATTTCAGTCAGCATTTCTCCTTCTTACCCCACAAGACCAGTATTGAAGACCAGCTCTCCAGCTACAGAGGCATCATGCCCAAAAGAAATCCCTTTCATCCTGGTGCCATCCTCCAAGACCAGGTGGGCTGTCTGGGCCTGGGAGTTAAAAGTAAAGTTTAAAAAAAAAAAAAAAAAAAAAATCACACCCCAAAATAATATATTCTCTTTTTATTAAGAGACTTTGGATGAACCAAAGGAAAGACTTTGAAATAGATGTGTTGTAGATTTTGAGTTTAGATGCAATGGCAACCAGTGACGCTCTGGGACATCATGCTGAAACTGCAGGCCTGTGTGAATTGTACTGCGAATGCTGAGACAGACAAATCTGTTTTTCTGTTGTGTAGGAGTGAGAGAGTGCATCCGTACACGTGTCTAAGAGAGAGAGAGAGAGCTGCATAGATTATTAAAGAGGCTGGTGTGATGCACCATGACCTCCAGATAGCCATCAGGAAAACAGTGACCAATATTACTCGTACTCGTCACAGATATAAAAATATTAGCATACCACCGATTTATTCACTGCATTAAGATCTTAAAAAAAATGTAATTTCTCAATTAATGCATTTACTTACTAACGTTATTTAGCAAATTAATGCATGTCATTTTAAAAACTAGTACTTTATCTACCACAACCCTGACTCGAATCAAATAAAATTCTCGCCTTTTCCGTGAATGTTGCAATCAGAGCTCATCTGAAGCATGACGCAACACTCCTGATTTACACGTTGTGCATAGTTGTGCAGCTGTTTGCCACTTTAGCCGAGACAGGCATGTGAACATCTCACCCACTTACAGCATCTCATTTTACAACTTCTTTTACGAATTGTCACACTAAAATTTCACTTGTCCATGACCGCTCCAATCTGCCTTGAAAAATCAGCCAATTTACTAAAATGTTGCACAATGAAAAGAGTCAAGCTCTACCACAAACAACTCAGTGTGTTTTATAGACACTAATATAATCGTGTGTGTATTCGGCGTATGCAAAGCATGCCTGACGCCATTTATTTTAATACACTTGCAGTTTCTGGCACGGATTTCCCCATCTGGCACGGATTCCTATTTGCCAGCCACCATGTGGATCAGCTGTTGTTTGTAAACTTCAGCATTTTTTTCTGAACTTCAAAGGCTAAATAAAGTAAATTACTTCCAGCGAGATCTTTAAAACAGTTCAGTTCTTGGATTTATCGCAGACAACAGTCCTTATCGGTCACACTTCTGCTTTCTTACCTTGACACTAAAAAGTTTTGCAGTGTGAAGTCTCAGGCAGCCCGCGATCCCCACTTTTCTGCCTAACACGCATCCTTGTCTCAAAGATTTCACAACGCTGACAGCTTGGAGGATTTTTGCCATATTAACCTATAAGCAGACTTTTAGTAAGACGGCGCAGACGTGGTTGAGAAGCTACTCGTTATAACAAATAACCGAGGGAGAAAAAGTGTGAGCGAGATTTAAGCTTTCCCTCGTGTCCACGCCGCAGGTTTGCAGTATAAGCAAGTGAGCGCTTGAAACGTCGATGTGGATTCGCCGGTGGAGAATTGTTGAAGCGCGCGGTGTTTAGGGCCTCGGGGAAAGCCGAATGAATGTAGAAGTAGCATGTGTTTAAATTTCGAATCACGGGTAAAGTGATCACATCCCAGCACTAGAATGGTTGTGGTTTTCTAAACAGTCGATGCAACAATATTGTTTAACCCGTTGTTGAATTGAAGATGACAGATATCACAATACTGATATTGTGATTTTAAATGTTCAAATATTTATGGACCTAATTGTTTATGCATAAGTTCTCTAATACCTCTAATTCCTTCATTTTTATTAAATTGAAAATTCAAAAAAATCACTATCACTGCAAATGCAAGCTACAACACAGAGGTGTACTTACTGAATGCAAGGAAATCTAAACACACGTGACCTTTGTGACATTCAATTTGGGATCAAGGCCACACCTTACTTACCTACAGGAA